TTTTTTTTTCGGAAACAAAGCCTGAAAAAAGCAAAGGGGTTGAACAGTTGGAACACATGTCTTTTACCATACAGATCTGGGAATGTCTATAGGATTGGCCTAGTAAGGTTTGCTATCTATTACAAGGTGCTTACTCTGTTTTTCTCTACTAAATTAAACCTTTATCTAAAATACAATCAATTATTAAGATTTGGGCAGCGTGGTGGCCCACACGTGTAATCCAGCACTTTTGGGAGGCCAAGGGGGGCGGATCACTTGAGTCCAGGGAATTCAAGCCAGCCTGGCCCAACATGCAGAGACCCCATCTCTACTAAAAATATAAAAATAGCTGGCGCGATGGTGGTGCCATGTCTGTTAATTACCAGGGCTACTCAGGGAGGCTGACAGGCAACTAAGACTCGAATGAAGCCTGGAGGTGGGAGGGTTGGAGGTTTCAAGTGAGCTGAGATTTCATCTCTGCACTCTTAGGTGTCCAAGGGGACAGAGTTGGACTTCTTGTCTCCAAAAAAAAATAATATATATTATATATATATACACACACACACACACACACACACACACACACACACATATATGATTTCTTTTTATTATGAAACATTTCAAATGTTGGAACATGAGTAAAAATTTGAACACATCTATTTTAGCACATATTAAACATACTGCCATATTAGCTTTGTACATGCACACACACATTTTAAATGAATGAAAGAGATGCGTTTGAAATTCTGTCTGTAATCTTCCTTGATCTAATCTCCTTCCTCTGTGTCTATCTCCATCTCTGCATATAAACACTACCTTGAGTTCAGTCTTATTATTGTTGTTCCCATGCCTTTCTTTATGCTTTTGCTACATAGGCCTATGTCCATAAACAGCATACAGTGTTGTTTTTCATGTTTAAAAACTTTAAATTTCCTCATAGATATAACTTACCTTATTCACTCTGCATAATTTTTAAGATTATTTCACGTTCATGCATACAGAACAATCATTTAAACTGTTGTATTGCCTTTCATTATGTGAATATACCACAATTTGTTATCAGCCCCTCTTCTCCGTGCAAGCAGTTTGAGGTACAATTTAAAGTCATAGTTTGATAATTTGTTGGCCAAGCAGAACACAGACGATGCCAGGAATCAATACTTTTATTTCTGCCTTTGTCCATGTGCCTTCGGTTATTCTACTCCTTCCTTTATATTTTGGCTTGGTCTCCTGGAAAGATTGTTAAGATGACTCGTTAACAAAAACTTCTCCACAGACATGAGTACCCACTCTGTGTTAGGGAGGAGCTAAATGTGAGCCAGACATTGGTCCACAAATAGGTGACTGTCAAGCCTATTACCATCAAATTGCATATATACATTCATATCTATAATGTAATGCCTGTGGGTTTCATATACATGCATATTTTACTTTTTGCTTTTAAAAGACTATTAAAGTTATAAAATTACAGTTAATAAGAATTTGGTTACCTTTGGTTATTTCCTTATTCAAATGTGCATTTTTCTTAATTTCCATAGTAATATATTTAAAAACCAAAGCCCTGGAGGTCACTACAAACTACTACATTAACAGCTCCACAGATCTTATTTACAATAAATAGCTAGGTTAGGTATTGCTAGTTTTGTAGATGGAGTGCCTATAGAATGGAAACTGTCTGCCATTCTCCTTCCGAAACAAGAAAAGGAACGAAAAAATCAATTATATCTGTTTCCCTGTCTTAATAGACAACATTGTTGTGAGCTGGTACCAACTTCCGGTGTTCCCATGCAAGCTATAATCTATGATTTGCCTCTGTAATTTCATTAATATTTAGTGACCAGAGACTTTTTGAGTGTTAACAGATACATTCTGTTAATAATTATTCTGGTGACTTCATTGTGCCTATGGTAGAAAATAGGTCCCTGAATCACATTTATTTTTTTCCTTTATGAACAACTACCAATTATTTGACTAAATCATTGTCTGTAAGCTAAATGAGTTTTCAGCCAACTAAACTGCATGTTACTAAAAAAAACTTATGTGACAAATAAATAAAGTACACATTTTAAAAAAGATCAAGGACTTGTGAGCCAAGAAATTTCAAACCAAAGATAATACGTTTTGTAAAGGTTAAAGTAGATTTTTCAATTAGAATGTAAATGGAATGCATTGTAAATGACTGCAGCTTCTCTTGTGTTTTTACTGTGATCCAGAAATGACTGTATTGATTTTTGAAGTTTTTACGTTAAAAGAAAATCACTGAGACTAAATTTCATGGCTTTGTGAATTCTGGGTTAACTGATGACAGCGGAGAGAGGCTGTGACTGCTGCAGCTTCTCTGCTAGTTGCTCCTTCCTATGCTGAAGAATGTTTTTAGAGCCATCTTTTATCTTTACTTAGAACAACGATGTTGTGGTTTGTTTTATTCAGATCAAGTTTTCAGAATCCGACTACTTTGGCAACGTCCTACAAACTCGCAAGTATTTAGCACAGTCTGATTTCTTCTGGCTAAGAAAAGCCGTTCCAAAAACAGAGTGAGTATTAAAAAAAAGTTAAATAGATAAATACATTGGTGAGAAGCGGAGTCTCTTTAGATTAAACTTTGTAATTCCCCTCAAGTCAGAGTAGCTGGCTTGCCAGTTAACTTGTTTTAGCAAAATCTGTGTCATGTTTTGCCAACTCTTATTTTTTATATTATGTGATTCAGATCTTAAGTCTAATTACAGGTCCCCCATTTCTAGCATCAACACATATCAAGAGAAGGCTTATTAGGATGCAAACATTAAAGTTATTTCTAGATCTAGTTATGAATATATAGAGAGGGAAAAATTTCTCTGGATTTTTACATTCATGTAGTAACTTTCGAAGATCTTAAAGAATAAATACTTTAAAAAACCCCTATGATTAGAAACGACAAAGTAAATGTATAGAAGCAACTAGAAAATATTTGTTGAGGTAATGCCTATCAAAGAACTGATAGCTATATTGTTTTTATCTAATAGCAGTTATGGTTTATTTGCCTTCCTCTCAGCTGCCTATAGGAGTTTTTCCTACAGATAGGAGGGTTTCCTTAGGTACTTTTAGGCCCAGGGCCCACCAGCTATGATTTCTTCCCTTAGCAAAATGTCAGTGATGATGACAATGATGATGGTAGCAGCTAACAATTATTATTTGTTTACATCGTACCAGAAAGTGCTTTACAATTTTTAATTCATTTTATCCTCATAGGAATTTGGCATGGTATAGATACTGTTATCCCCATTTTACAGGAAAATAAAAGGCTTACAACTGAGAAATTCTTCAGCTTAGGTTTGGATCACATTTTGTTCTGTCTGCTGCTGCTTTTGATTCCTAGGACTGGATTCTGTTGTGCTTAGGCCCACTTCTCCAATGCTTTTTTTCTCTCTGTTCTCCAGAATGGATGATGTCTATTGATCTGTTTTCAACTCCAGAATTTCTTTTTTAATTTAATTGTATTGTTATTTTTAAACTTAGTTTTTATTTCAATAGGTTTTGGGGGTATTGCGGGATCTGGCCAGCAGCCCACAATGCAACGGGGCTCTCTCTTTCCAGGCGGGATCAGCAGGTCGAGAAATAATAGACACACACAAGATAGTGAAAGCTGGGTCCAGGGGGGTCACTGCCTTCTGGTCCCGCGGTGCCAACAATGCACTGGATATGCCAGCATTTATTATTAAGTTTAGTGAGGGCGGGGGTAGGTTGGTGAGGGATTTAGGGTCATTTGATTATGAGGTGAGATGGTCACATGGGGATGAAGTAATTCTTTAACGTAACATCTGTATGCAGAAGTACAGTATACAGAGGTAAGAATTTACAATATAGTGCGTGCATCAGTAATTTCTAACAGAGCCTTAAAACAGAAACACAGTCTTTCCATAACCTATGATTAGCAAGATATTAGTCAGCAGTAACAGTTACAGCAAAGGCTGGTTACAAACAATTCATAGAGACAGGATGTGAAGTTAGACAACCGGTTAGACCAGAATTTATCAGAAGGGAGTATGTCTTAACCCTAAAGAGGCCTAGAAGAGCCGCAGCAAGATGAGGGCATTTATAGCCCTGTCTTATCCATGTGGACAGGCGCCCCCCATGCATCCATTTATAGGCTCTCCACGAGGGTCACATTCCATTCCCAGAGCTCTGAACATCTGCTTTTCTGGGATAGGAATCTTGGTGATGTGAAACCTCCCTGACTGCATGTCCATTCACAGGCTCTCTGCAGGGGGAAGCACATCACGCGCTGTTGGCTCATTCTGGCAGTCCAACCTGCCATTGTCTTTACACAATCCTGCATGCAATTTTATATTTACAATAATCAGGAGCATTTCATCTTTTATTCCATAGCAATAGTTTCAGGGGGTCTCCCTACATGGGGGAACAGGTGGTAGTTGGTTACATGAGTAAGTTCTTTAGTGGCGATTTCTGAGATTTCAGTGCACCCATCACCTGAGCAGTCTACATGTACACTGTATTAGTGTGTAGTATTTTATTCCTCATCCCCCTCCCACTCCTTTCCCCAGGTCTCCAAAGTCCATTGTATCATTCTTACCCTTCTGTGTCCTCATAGCTTACCTCCCTCTTAGGAGTGAGAACATATAATGTTTGGTTTTCCATTCCTGAGTTACATAAGATAATGGTCTCCAGTTCCATCCAGGTTGCTGTGAATGCCATTATTTCATTCCTTGTTATGGCTGACAACTCCAGAATTTCCATTTGTTTTTTATAGTTTCTATTTTTCTGTTGTAATTCTTTGTTAAGTCATTGTCATCATATTTTTCTATTTATTCTTTGAATAAAATTTATTTTAATTCTTTAAAGTCATCTATAATAGCCACTTTCAAGTCTTTGCTAAATCTAATATCTGGGCTCAAACTAACTGGAGTTAGTTTCTATTGATTGCTTTTTTTTTTTTTTTTAACAGTTTTTCCTTTGCATAACATTTTGTTGTTGTTGCTAATGACAGTTTAGATAGTATGTTGTAGCAACTCTGGATTCTGATTTATTTTTCTGGGGCTTTTTAAAGCAAACAAAAAAAAGTAACTGTCCTAACATACTGCCGAATAGATCTTCTCTGTAGTATGCAGCTGTCGATGTCTCTGCTCAGTTTTTTAACTCTTATTTGTAGGTTTTAGCCTCACTTCCTAATGGTTGTCCCTGTGTCTACATAGCTCAGTGCTCAGTGATTAGGTCAGAGCTTGTGCTCAAACACCTTGAGTCTACAGGGTTTCTACCCTCTGCCAGTTGCTCTGTGTGTGGGTTGGGAGCACCTTCAAAATTACAGCCAGTTCTCAGTCCACCTTCAATTTCACCTTCCACCAGGCCCTCACTGGTCTTCCCTACACATGTGCCTAGTTTCCCAGTCAGCCAGGGATGTATGGAGTACTTAGTCAGCTCTTCTATTACTATGTCAGTTACAGGATCTCTCTTTTAAATTTCTGACTGGGTTTTCCTCATTGGTTTTTTACTAAGTTGGTCATTCAAAAATTAAAAAAAAAAAAATTGTGGGTACCTAGTAGGTGTACAGATTTATGAGGTACATAAGATATTTCAATACAGGCATAGAATGTGTAATAACCACATCAGGGCAAATGGGGTATCCATAGCCTCAAGCATTTATCCTTTCTTTATGTTACAAACAGTCCAATTATACACTTATTGTTATTTTTAAATCTATAATAAATTGTTGACTGTAGTCACCCTGTTATGCAATCAAATACTAGATCTTATTCATTCTATCTAACTATATTTTTGTACCCATTAACCATCCCCACTTACCTCGACCCAGTACCCTTCTCAGCCTCATTCTACTTTCTGTCTCCATGAGTTCAATTGTTTTAATTTTTAGTTCCCACAAATAAGTGAGAACATGTGAAGTTTGTCTGGGGCTGGTTTATTTCACTTAATATTCTCTAGTTTCATCCATGTTGTTGTAAATGACAAGATTTCATTCTTTTTTGTGGCTTAATAGTACTCTATTTTATATATGTACCACATTTTCTTTATCCATTTGTCTGTTGATGAACACACAGGTTGCTTCTAAATCTTGGCTATTGTAAACAGTTCTACAATAAACATGGAAGAGCAGATGTCTCTTTGATATACTGATTTTCTTTCTTTTAGGTATATACCCAGTAGTGGGATTGCTGGACTGTAAGGTAGCTCTATTTTTAGTTGTTTGAGGAACCTCCAAACTGTTCTCCATAGTGGTTGTACTAATTTACATTCCCTCTAACAGAGTATTGAGGGTTCTCTTTTCTCAACAGCCTCACCAGAATTTGTTTTTTCCTGTCTTTTGAATAAAAGTCATTTTCACTGGAGTAAGATGATATCTCATTGTAATTTTTGATTTGCATTTATCTGATAATCATTGATGTTGTGCACCTTTTCATATACCTGTTTGCCTTTTGTATGTCTTCATTTGAGAAATGTCTATTCAGATCTTTGTGTGTATGTGTCTGTTTTTATGCCAATATCATGCTATTTTGGTTACTATAGCTCTGTAGTATAATTTGAAGTCAAGTAATGTGATTCCTCCAGTTTTGTTGTTTTTGCTTAAGATAACATTGGCTATTCTGGATCTTTTGTGGTTCCATATAAATTTTAGGATTTTTTTTTCTATTTCTATGAAGAACGTCATTGATACTTTGATGGGGATTACAGTGACTCTGTAGATTGCTTTTGGTACTATGGGCATTTTCACAGTATTGATTCTTCTAATCCATTAACATGGAATAGCTTTACTTTTTTGTGTCCTCTTCAATTTCTTGCATCAACGTGTTTATAGTTTTCATTGTAGAGACCTTTCACTTCTTTGGCTAAGTTTATTCCTAGGTATTTTATTTCATTTGCAGCTATTGTAAATGAGATTATTTTCTTGACTTCTTTTATAGATTGCTTTCTCTTAGAATATAGAAATGCTACTGATATTTGTATGTTGATTTTGTATCCTGCAACTTTACTCAATTTGTTTATCATTTTAATAGTTTTTTGGTGGAGTCTTTAGATTTTTCCAAATATAAGATCATATTGTCTACAAACAGGGGTAATTTGACTTCTTTCTTTCTTTTCTTTTCTTCTTTTCTTTTTTTTTGAGACAGAGTCTTGCTCTGTCACCCAGACTGGAGTGCAGTGGCGCACGGTCTCTGATCACTGCAAGCTCCGCCTCCCAGGTTCACGCCATTCTCCTGTCTCAGCCTCCCCAGTAGCTGGGACTACAGGCGCCTGCCACCACGCCCAGCTAATTTTTTGAATTTTTTTTTTTTTTTTTTTTTTTTTTTTTAGTAGAGACGGGGTTTCACCGTGTTAGCCAGGATGGTCTCAATCTCCTGACCTCATGATCCACCCACCTCGGCCTCCCAAAGTGTTGGGATTACAGGCGTGAGCCACTGTGCCCGGCCAACTTCTTTCTTTCTAATTTGGATGCCCCTTATTTCTTTCTGTTGTCTGATTACTCTGGCTAGGACTTCTAGTACTATGTTGAATAACAGTGGTAAAAGTGGGCCTCCTTGTCTTG